AGCCATCCATCCATCCATCCAAACATCCATCCAAACATCCATCCATCCATCCATTATTTTTACCTGTTTCTTCCATTTTGGGTCACGGGGGTCACCGGTGCCCATGTCCAGCAATCACTGTGTGAGGGGCGGGGTACACCCAGGACAGGTCTCCAGTCCATCACAGGGACACATAGAGACAAACGAGACAAACAACCATTCACTCTCTCACTCACACCTAGGGACAATTTAGAGTTACCAATCAGCCTAACATGCATGTTTTTGGTCTGTGGGAGGAAACTGGAGCACCCGGAGAAAACCCACGCATGCACGGAGAGAACATGCAAACTCCACCCAGAAAGGCCCCCGGCTGGGGTTTGAACGGGCGGCCTTCTCACTGAGAGGCAGCAGCTCTACCAGCTGCGCCAATGTGCCATCTTTGAAGTCAAGGTCATAAATCAAGGTCAAAGGCTATACAAGGTCTTTGATTCTCCGGGCCTTTGCTGTTTTGTGATGCAATAGTTTGTTGATGAATGTATAATGTGCTGTAGTGTTTCTGTTGTAAGCATTTAGCTACTCTATAGCTGGTGTTCTGATTATTTACTCTTTTGCTAGTTTTAACATTTAGCTACAGTTCTATCATTCTTGTCTTCAGCTACTCTTTTGCTACTTATAACCCAAGAAGAAAAAGTCTGATAAGAATTGTTTTGCCTCCAATTCCTACATGTGTCCAGTTTCACTACTTTTTGTCTGTCTAAACAGGCTCACTTGTAAATGAGTCTTCTAGGCTCAATGTGACTTAAAGGTTGAATGAAAGCCCGTGTTTTAGCCATTCTGAACATTTCTGTTTTGAGCTACTTCTTGCATGTTTGGGCTGCAGTATCTCGATGGCACAGGATCGAGCTCCAGCTGAGTCAGGAAGGACATCTGGTGTGAAACAGCTAAATGGACTGTACTTGTACAGCTCCTTTCTATCTATGGAGATACTTAAAGCTCTTTACAACAATCTGTGCCTCACTGACCCATTCACACAGCTCTATACTAGATCTCTACAAAGACAATTGAACAAATCATTCTAAAGAGACTAATCAGAGCTTCATCACATTCAGACACTGATGGGACACACATCAGAGGCAGTGAGGGGTTCAGTGTCTTGCCCAGGGACACTTCAGCATGTGACTACTGGTGGATTCAAACCCACAACTCTTCCATTGGAGGCCGACTGCTCTAACCACTCAGCCGCCCCAGATCTTTTATGTAAAGCTCACTTGCTGCATGTGGTGATCCCTGCACAGCAGCAGATTTGAGCTGTTTCAGCACTTTTAGCTTTCAGCAACGTTTCTTTCTTGCTGCTCTTATCTAGCTTGCTGTTTGACTCATGTTGGTTTTACCTACTTTATTAACCTAACTTCAGCGTTTGCTTTGATGTTATCTTTTGTTCTGATCATTTTAATGATACCAGCTCAGTCCAGCTTTTTCAACCCCTTTAATCAAAATCATTCAGTTTAACTTCAAATGAATGAAAAGTTTTTACTGTTTATTTGTTTCATTAGAACGACCATTTTCAATAAGTTTGACCTCTTTACTGTGTATTTATTGACGCGTCAGCCCTGAGGCCTCTGGGGTGATTTTGACCCAAAGGCAGCAGGAGGGTTAAGTTCACGCACAAGAAATCAGCAGGAGTCTTAGTACAGAGCCCGACAGGTAAATGGTTAAAGGCAGAACTCTCCTTCTCTTCTCCGCCAGCCTTCATCTCCGCTGATCATCCTTACATCCCGTTGCATTTCCGTGGACTCTTTAAGCTTCATACGTTACGTCCACAAGATTAATGTTGTTTTCAACTTTCCAGAGAACTCTGCAAGTTCGAGTTTTTATGGTTTTGTAAAATTGTTATTTAAAGCTCCCATTGAAACCGAAAAGAAAATGCTTTTATTCTAAATACAGGGCAATAACAGCATGGCTTTTACTGAATCAGAAGAACAAGCAGATGTGTTTTATTAGTCTATAAAAAGATTTATTTTGGGTTGGAAGACAGAAAAACAGAACATTCATTTTTTTGTTTAAAGCTAGAAGGGAAAAATCTGTAACTCAGGTATTTGCCTAAATATGAGGACTTTTATTTTAATAAAAATGACAAAAAAAGAAGGGTGCCTTTATTCTGAAAAAAATCTCACAGTGAAATTATGTATTTTAATATTAATAGAAAAAATAAGACATTGTTTGGTTAAAAATGGACGATGAGAAAACAACTTTAATGTACTGAACTCATAGAAAATGAAAACTGGTATGTGTTTTTTTCAGGTTATTTAAGGGAAGACTCTTATTCTGATAGAATAAAAAACACATTGTATTATTTGTTTTAATTATTAACCCAGACATAGAGAAAATAATGTCATTGTCACAACAAAACGTCAGCTCAACTTCCGTATTTTGATAAAAGACAATAAAATTGTTAGTTTTATTCTGAAGTGTAGATCGCAAAAAAATTATAAGTACACAGCTCCTTTTGGATAAAACTAAAAATACTTTTGTTTAGAAAGAAGTCTTCCATTTTGATATAACATGAAAAATTTTAAACAAGCATTTTGAATTTGACGATGTTTTTCTAGAGACTTAATTTAAATGAAAGACTTTTATTCTGATAGTTAGACTTTGACTGTTGTTAGATACCAGGATTTTCTGGTCCGATACGATACCGGGTAAATCCAGCAGCGGTATCGATGTAGATACTTTGTACAAATGTGCCTAATGTCTCAGGTAAACCTAAAAAAGCGTGTATTCAAATCAACGTTGCATAAAGAATGCAAGACAAAGTAATTGATTTATTTTAAACTCAGGAGTATGTTGATGCAGTGGCCTCATTTAGTCTGAGCTTAAAACAAAAGAAAATAACTGGACATCATACAAAACATGAGGAAATTCCTCCCTCTGTACCTGGATAGTTCTACAGCCCTGAGGAACTCCTCCAGGGCAGCAGCACCTGACTTTTTGCTCTCCTCCTCTGTCCACCTGATCAATGCCTCATATTCTGTGTTGTGATTTAACCAGAAGTGTTTTATAAGGTTTATTGTGTTGCTACATCTTTTTACAGATTTTCCACAAACTGCTTCTGTTTCTGGAGATGAAATAACTCCACATGACTCTGTTCAACTCTGTGTCTACAGACTGAGAGACTCACACACTTACTCAGGTGGAAGAAAAAGTAGTTCCCACCAACCGTGTATCATTTAGACAAGATCTCAATAGTTTAGTTACTTTCCACCATCTTCCTGTTAATGATATGAAGTGTCAGAAGTATCGATAGGAGACCCGGGCGGCATCGGTATTTTAGTATCGATCCGCACACAACTTTTATTGTGACAGCGCTAAGTGTAAGATGGCGGCTTTTATTTTGACAAAACCGGCAAAAGGTACCAGCAGTCGCCCGTTGAAGCGAAATAAAACCCATCTAGTGAAATAAATAGAGAAATAAAGTAAGCAGTGGCTGTGTCTGGAGAAAAGCAGAACCCGGAAGTCATCTGCTGACAGTCACGTGACCGGAGCGTGAAACATGCCTGGACCATGACCTCTGGACTCCGTGTGCAGCGACTCGTGCAGACCACAAGCAGTTTCTGTGAGACGTCCAGAGATGAAGAGGAGACTCCTGCTGGTGTCCAACTCCACCCTGCACGGCAGCGGCTACCTGGACCACTGTCAGCAGCACATCTCCACCTTCTTCGGAGCGTAGGTTTCAAAAACCGGAAGTGGGCTAAAGGGGGGCGTCTCTCTGGGGTCGCAGTCCTGTCGCTAAACTTAAGTTTTAAAATTATTTTTAACTGTGCAACACTTTTCTTTCTCTAATGGTCACAGAGTCTTCGCTGTTAAAACTCTTTCAGGAGCAACAGAGCTCTGACACGTGCACGTGAGCTTTCAGGTTGCAATCACTCAGGATTTAATGAGACTGGTTTCATCTGTCTCCAAACAGTTGCAGCCCAGAGAGACCACCCAGTCTGAGCTGGTGTGAAAAACTAGATTTATTTCTGAAAGTCTAATGTTATTTATGTTACAAACTCAATACTTTAGGTACAAAAGGAATACTGACTTCTATAACTATCGACAAACTAACTAACCAAATCTAAGAATACAACTTATGTTAGCCATATTGAAACATGCTCGTTTATTTGGTTGTTTGTTCCAGGGATGTGAAGCGCGTGCTCTTTGTGCCTTATGCGCTCCATGACCAAGACGCCTACACGAAGACGGCCAGGGACAAGTTCAGGACTCTGGGTGAGACCGATCACATCGTTCTGTTGTTGTCGTAGCAGTACAGAGCATGATGCAAGCGTGTGCTTTTAACACATCAGAACATTTCTGTGAGGGTGTTATGTGGATTTGTGAGGCTTATTCATTTTATTTGATCAATCTTTGTTGAAAAAGTCAGAGTCAGAGATTCTTTATTGTCATTCGCATCTCATGTGGTACATGTGGTGGAGTGAAATAATCTTCACAGGGTCCCAGTTACATCCAACAATAAAATGTAAAATAAAAACAATAATAACATCTAAGATATGAACTAAGAAAAACATCAACTAAATATACACTAAGCACTCATAACATAAAAACATTGAACATCAGCACGAACATGAACATGAGTCTGTGTGAGCAGATGTGCACGCATGAACACATCAACATGAAACAGATCAGCAGCAACATGAAACAGATCAGCAGCAACATGAAACAGATCAGCAGCAACATGAAACAGATCAGCAGCAACATTTTTTTTTTCTTTTTTTTTCATTGACCCTTTATTTATCCAGGTAGTCTCATTGAGCCATGAGAACTCATTTTCAAGAGAGACCTGTTTAAGGAGCGGATGGGGGTTAAGGACCTTGTTCATGGGCTCAGAGTGGGGCGAATGAGGGTGGGGGCAGGTGTGTGTGCTTCACCTACCCCACCCACATTTTTGATGTTGTCGGTACCGGGGCTTGAACCGGCGATCTTCCGATTACAGGCCCACCTTCTCTAACCTCTGTGCCACCACTCCCCACATGATGTGATTTTTCACAGTGATTATTCTAGTTAGAGATTCATGAGTCTAACAGCCTCAGGGTAGAAGCTGCTCCTCAGTCTAGTGGTTCTACACTTAATGCTCCTCAACCTCCTTCCTGAGGGGAGTGGGGCAAAAAGTGTGTGTGCTGGGTGAGTGGGGTCCTTCATGATGCAGGTGGCTCTCTTCCTGCATCTGGAGGTATAGATGTCTGTGATGGTGGGGAGACTGACTCCAACATCTTCTGTGCAGCCTTCACCACTCTCTGCAAAGCTTTTCTTTCTGCAGCTGTGCAGCCTCCATGCCACACGTTGATGCTGGAGCACAGGATGCTCTCCACTGCACACCTGTAGAAGGAGGTGAGGACTGAGCTTCCCAGACCAGCTCGCCTCAGCCGTCTGAGGAAGTAGAGTCTCTGATGAGCTTTCTTGATCAGGCTGGTGGTGTTGTTGCTCCAGCTGAGGTTGT